GTGAACTTTGGATGGGAAGGAACGGGATAGACAGATATCAAATAGAGAACAACAATTGTAATGTAGGCTACATGTAGGCTTTGTATTCATGCACAAATTTTCTAATCCTCATAAGATAGAAATGCAGTTTACTTTGAAAGAAAGTAATTGGTTCTTCAAAATTTTCACCACATCGGGTAAAATACGTATTCATAACGCACATGTCCACAAGAAGGAGAAATAAAGAAATCAACTAAAAGACCTCAAGAAAAATCAGTCAAGTTAGGCTCTAATTTAAGAATGTTGTGGTTTCCATGGTAATTAAGGAATCATAAACCTTGTCATCCTACATCCTATTTAATTATTATTATTTGTTTTTAAATACAATTAATGGTTATACAAGTGCAATAGTATAATGACCTGTCCTATTGAGTTGCCAATTTGTTGACATGAATGTCAGCCATGTTGTTTTGGGGCAGCTGTTTTTGGTCTGTCCACCCTGCTACATGTATTTCCCTAACCATCAATTCAGAAATATATTAGAAAAGGGGATCGTTCACATAGGCTTTGTGTCAAGTACGTTTTTTTGTGTGTATACTAAATGAATGGCTGGTGAGGATATTTTTTTAAAGAGCTGTGCACAACAGTGTTCCCACACAATCCAAACATACTCATGAATCTGTGTGTTTTAAGATAAAATAGAATTGTACAGTTTGGTATGCCTTAAAAAAAGAAAATGCAATGGTAAATCACTTAAGTCAATGGCATATGTAAATGGGCCATATACATCCCCATGTGTACAATCCCATACAGAATGATCTGCCTGGCGTTTCCATACACATAATATAATGAGGGGTTGCGCTCTGCACAGCACGATTAACATAAAATGTGGCACATTTTTTGACAATGTGAACATTATTTGTATACAGGATGGCATGGTGATTCATAAACATAATAGCCCCCTGTATTAATCTATTTGTAAACTGATATGGGACTAAATTCAATTATCTTGCATGAAACGATTAAACCGTGGTAACATTTTAGAAGAAGACATAATTACTTGATATTTCAGGGATCCCCCATTCATAAAGAAATACTAATTTGATATCATTTCCAAGTACATTCGTAGGCGTTTCACGTCATCATGGCATGTTATGAGTCATTGTTGAATGCAAGGAGATTTCTCACCTAAAACCTAACAATTTTTTGATATTTTTCCATGAATAGAAATCAAGCTGAAAAAGTGATTCTCTTATCACTATAATTTGATTATTATCTTTTATCAGCTTACAGAAAATTCAAAACAAAGTTGCTTTTGCAATTCAATTCATGAAATGTTCCTGTGTATCTCTCCCATGTACTTTTGCGGTATAGGTTCATTATCTTTGTCCATAATTAAACACATATTGAATTTAATCCAAGTCTAATTTGAAAATAACATCTCATGAACTTTTGTCTCTTGGTCACACAAAATGTTGCATGGATCGATGCTCAAAATTCTAGGAACACTTTTATCATGAGAAAGTAATATTTTTCTTTCCCCCCTCAGCGCTATGATTAATTCTCTGTATTTTGCCTGTGATAATGTCTATCTATGTCCGTGTCTGCCCATCTCTCGCTCTCTCTCTCTCTCTCTCTCTCTCTTTCTGTCCTTCTCTGTCCCTCCCTCTGCCCGTCTTTATCTTTTTGGATGTTCCCCCCTCTCTCTTCCTCTCCCCTCTCCCCTCTCCTCTCTCCCCCTCTCCTCTCTCTCCCGCTCCTCTCTCCCCCTCTCCTCTCTCCCCCTCTCCTCTCTCCCCCTCTCCTCCCCCTCTCCTCCCCCTCTCCTCCCCCTCTCCTCTCTCTCCCCCAATGATTTCATGAATTTAATATTTACTATTTATACAGGTAATTTTTTAAGGATTCTCAAAGAATCTAAAAGGATCTAAGAGAAATTAATACGGCCTACTTTTTATGGTTCCTTTCTTTTTTTATCATGACCCAATTATGAACTATTACTATGCAGTTACACTTTTTGTCTCTAATCATCTATAGGAAATGCTTCATGGTAATTTTTAACGCACTGAATACCATTGTTAAAATGACAAGCCGATGAATACTTCCTGGAATTGAATGGCTTGATCAGTTCCGGCCCTTGTATGGTTCCTTTTTTAAATGGATGTTTTACACAAGTGCTGAATGTCACAGAGAGAAAGAGAGGGAGATAGAGAGAGAGAGGGAGAGAGAGAGAAAGAGAGATACAGAATAGAGACATATAAACAAAGGACAGAGACTATATAGTAAACACAGAGGTTGAGAAGTAGAGTTCGTCAGGGAAGAAAAAATGTGAAATAAAGAGCAAAGAGAAGAAAAGGAATGATATACTTTCTCGTTTGATTTTTTTTTTAAACTTAGGGAAAAGAAGAAGAAAGAATAGGAAACAATTGAAATTTACAGTAGAACCCAGGCTGGAGAGAAGCAATCATACCTAAGGAATTTTTCTGAGATATAAAAAGAAATTATTAATCATAATTTTTACTGAATCGATGAAGACGTTGGTTGCGTATCCATTTTGTAACATTAAGCTTTGTTTACGCTCCAATACTCAAGAAGTAGGACACCTTGGATTTAAATCCTCAGTCTGATGTCATTAAGATCCTTTGTCATTGAGATAACTTTGAAGGTTTTCTCTTCTTTCTTTTTTTAATCGCTATTTCAAGCTACTGTTTTGTTTAATTTTGACTGTCAAAGGATTACATGGTTTTATGATGTATTAAGATTCTAGGAATGTGTGAAAGTTGCCTCTCCTCTCTCTTTACTTTGTAGCTTTATTTTCCTTCCGACAATGATGTAAAGTCACGTGTATCTTCAGATTTATTTAGAGTTCATGGTTGGGAGCATTGCCAAATGAATACAACATAAGGCAAAGTTAGATTTGGGAAAATGCACCGAATGCGTGGATGAGATGCAGAGATAGCAGGCCTAACTCTACTTGGCTTTCAAACTTCACAATCATAGGACATATTAAAGATCTTGGCAAGCAATGCTTCATAAAAATCAAAGAAAATCAAGACTACAGTCTATAGGCATATACCCTTTTTTAAGAAAAGAAAAAAAGGTGAAAGTTCATTTTGACGAACATATCAAAGATGACTTGAGAAAGTTAAATGAGTGGTCATGAACTGCTGCTGAACGAGGCTCCTGACAATGCCAGTGATAAAATATCTAATATTAGACTCCATTTACCGACTCCTATAGGAACTTTCACTTCAGCTCCCCTCACCTGTAACGCCTTGTGATTACTGTAAGTCTTTGCGAGCTTTATTGACCACTGTATTCAAATGAAGCACTTAATTGCCACTTGTAGATCTATGTTTGGGATGATTATTGAGGCATATCAAGTAACAACGATTGCAAATTATCCAGTTATTTTGCGTCTTCATCAGCCCAAAGTTGCAATTAGCGGGATATTTGGCCGAGATAATCATCCCAAGATATCTTGGGCTAGTTTGCAAAATATATCCTGCTATTTGTCCGGTGCGTCCTCACCAGCCCGAAGACTCGCACTATGCGCGAACACTGAGCATTAATATCTCTAGCTAATTTCTTGAGCTTGAGTTTCAAGTTTCGAGGTCAAGTCTCGAGCTGATGAAGACGCAATTTGTAACTTCAGGATTATTTCCCAAATCAGAAATAGGGGGCTATATTTGGCAATCTCGAGCTGATGAGGACAGGCCTATAGAAGTCTCTTCAATCAGCTGGCTTTGAACCTAGATAGAGATCACAAAAGTAGGAAGTCAGTGGAAAGTCGATTCTTTCTTGTGTTACAAACACAAGCATGGTGGAACACTGTTGTGTTTCTTGAAAGGAATTATGCATACAATAGGATAGATAGAGTTGAGTGACTCGATGAAGCCTTTTTACAACATGAGGGGTCGGGCCTTTTCCTATATGGGCTTAACAATGGGCTTGTGGAAGTTGTAGGTCTCAACCAGCTGATCATGTGAATTGCATCATTTGAGCACATGTCCCTAATCAGCTGTTTGGTTGTAAAGTCTGACTAGGGAGAGCAAGAGAGAGAGAGGGGGTGGGTATCATGGCACAGGGCAAGGGTTGAGTGTACTGTTTACCAAAACATGCCGCATCGAGACATACGTTAGCGCCAGAGGCAGCGGCAGCAGCTAGGAACCAGCAATCTAATTCCTGCGTCTCTCTCTCGCGCTCTAGCCTGCCTGACGACAACCTGTGATGGGGTCTAGTTCTACCACTCTTACAACCAGAGCAGGTGGGTGTGGTAGGCGTGGCTGCCACTTGCTCTACGTCCAAAATCTCCGTCTGTGTTGCTGCTCAGACAACCTCATCTCCAGACCAGTGGTTGTTGCTTCTTGACCTTAAAGCAACCTTCCGGGGAGTGTTTCCATGATGACCCTTTGAGCTAAGGTTATGTCATCTTCCTACCACCCATAAAGGGGAACATCCTGTGTTACTTTAACTGTACATTGATAGAGTAACACCGGTCATTGTCTCAGTATATATAGAGCTTCACCGGTGGAAATACGTGAGTATCACTTCATCCTCTTGGTAGGAGTGTCCAAGTGTCTTCTCTCATCTGCGGATCAACTCTTTCCTCCAGTCCACTTCAGTTTACCCAACTGGTGGAGTTGAATCTGATGATCTGTGATTCATTTTTCTCTTCGGAATTGCCAAATTAATTTGCTTTGCCATCTTTACTTTATTGATGCAGCTGTGTATACCATAACTAAATCATCTGCAATATTGCTATACCCAAACCTTGGAATTTTACCTTTCGATGCTTTTCATCAAACAACATCTCTCTACTGGAGCTGAGGTTCAAAGTCATTGAGGTCTATTTGGATGCTTAGTACTAGATTCAAGTATATACCAACTTGTTCATAGTATCTTGGAAGTGTCTACACTCTAGTTGCATTTTGCAACAAAAGTTTGACATTTTGGTGATAAATTGCCGACACCAAACCCATCCAATCGGAACCCTAAACCTGCACATCAGTCATAGATCCTGTGACATGCCACCATGCCTACCTCACGACCCAGGTCACCGATGGGTAACATTGGACGAGAGTCTCGAATGCTGGCTCTCTCTTTCATCTACAAGAAACCCTGGTGTAAATTCTTTGGCCAACCTGAGGCAGAACCCAACAACGTTGAGGTAATTGCTTGTTCTTCACGCATAAATTCATAATTGACCATAAATGGTACTCTTAAAAAAAAATATTTAAAAATTGATACAATTGAATTTTTTGCTAATTTGCTGAAAGAATATTTAAAAATTTTTTTTTTTAATTGTTGAAGTAATATTTTTATTTTAATAGTTTAAATTGTTTAGGACCAAACAGAAACTCTGATATCAGTCATCTTTGTGAGTTCTCAATTTTTTTTAATTGCTTTATTTAATGACCATTGTTAGGAACTGATATTAATCAATCTTAAATTTGTTTGATTCACTTGTTTTCATTTCTAAACCTTTTCCAACATATTTTTTATTACACATCATTCTTTACATCGAATTTGGCTTCTAAACATGAATATTAATGTATGAAATCACGCGACAAAGTCGCTATTAAAACATAATATATCATGACGAGATTGTGTATTTCACCTTATGGTTAATACTCAAATGTCATTATTTATCATGAAATGCTTTCTGTGATTTATGACTTGGAGTTTTGAGCGTCCAGTTGTTGTTGTTCTTTTTTGGGTGTAGATTATGCCTTGGTCGGCTCCAAGTAGTGTCTCTTGTTGATGGTACTCCATATTTAAAGGGTGAGATAGTCTGTAATGATGGATGGTTTCATTGGTTTGTTATGAATATGAACATCAGAATGTGATATATTGCCTGTATCATTAGTTAGGTTCACACAAAGGTCTGTAAGCTTACTTTGAGATTATCTTGTAGAGTACGTAACTAGAGTTAACTGTTTCTATTGAGATGGTTCTCCAATACTTTAAAAAAAAAAACTTTGCTTTTGACTTCTTGGCTTATTCATCATGGAGTGCTGGCTGTTACTTAATAGTAATCAGCCTTTAGGACTTGACACAGTCACCACCTTGCCTAGGCATGCGTTTCAATTTCTCAAGTTTTCTACTTCATTGATAAAAGTCTTGTTATCAATTCAAATGAACAGCTGAATCAAGCAATTCCAAAGTTTGGAACCTCTACCTCTGTCAATGCAAATGTCAAACTGAGTTATGCACATGACCTCTTATTTATGAAAAGATTTTTCTTTCTGTTTCTGAAATGTAAAGAGAATCCTGAAAATAGGTGTTTTTTTGTTGTCAAACAATTCTGTTTTACCAAAAAAAAGTTTTAGATCTACATAAATTTGTCTCAGTTTTAAAGAAAATAATGCTCTAAAGTATCAGAATGAAAATAGAAGACATAATGATAAAACTTTTAAAACTTTTCAAACTTTTTTTTTTGTCTTATCCAGCCTGGCATCTTGGAAGTCCAAAATGACTCTGGCAAGCTTGTAGTAATCCTAAATTGTTTGACCAATTTCTGTTAATTTTTTATGAAATAATGAATAATATGGAAGGTTTATTAAACCCTAGGTTGTTTTGCACGTTCCGCAAGGTTTTTACTGCTGTATACATATCATACCATTAAAAAAAAGCAAGTCAGGGATTTCTCTCTTTATCAACTCATAAAACAGAGAACATGGATTGTAACTAACTAATTTTAGTAGTTTTTTTAAAAATCAAATAAGCCATGTTTTTTAAGTTACGAGCATTTAATGCTAATAAACTTATGCTTAATGCAATAATGCACGTCCGACACAACATGATAACACCCCTGCCAGCCACACAACAATTTTAGTCTCGTCACTCAATACAGCCTTTTAAGGTGTGAAGTCCAACGCTTTACGATTGACATCTGTCTGACATTATATTAGACACTTCAAAGCCAATTTGACTGACAAACAAAGTCAAAGTCAGACTGTTACGTTTTTGAGAAACTTTGGAACTCTTTCAGTTTTATTTCCTTTTTTGGCAATGGCAAACAGACTAAATCAACTTCAATTTCAGCTCGCCATTGTCCTTCAACAACTGATGTTTCAAAGTTCAAAAGGCCATCTCCCCGTTAATGTTTGACTGATGGATTTAGAGTACAGATGAGGGTATTTAATTGGAAGAGAAAAATGACAGTCTTCTGCCTATTTAAAATTTGGAATTACATGGCACCTGTCACGATTGAACAATTGTGAACGATTGTTTTCTTTCATTTTGGTAGTATATTGTGCCATTTGTGCAAGTTTTGAATTGCTGGTTCTTAAAATCTAATGCTTTTTAGGTCATATGCAAACTTTCATTGATCTTTTCTTGTTGATAATTGATGCTCTTAATTTGAATGGTATGATTAGTTTTGATGGGAATGGGATTTTATTTCAGAGAATTTGACCCTCTGTCATTGTTTAATTGGAGGAAACCTGACCTACTTTGTATTCCTGTTTCACTTTATGAATGGAATGGTCAGATAGAAAGCATATGATTTGTAAGATTGAAAAAGCCACCAAAGAAAAACAAGAATAGTTTCCAATTTGTATTATATGTTTTTATGATAAAAACATCAATTTATTTAATTTTTCTGGATTGTAGAAAGATTAATATTTTAACCTGTAGAATACCATGCCAGATATATCTGTGGTTGGGGTCTTTAGAAAGTGTGTAATACCAAAATCAAAGATGTTTAATGGGTTAAATGGACTGAAATATGTATGGGCTAGATTGATTCACCCCTCCCCTCCCCCCCCCCCCCCAATATAAACAAGTCTGTCATTTACTCATTATATTTTTTCTTTGGAATGTTTATATGTAGTAAATGCTAATTTTAATCCACATAGGTTGATTTTGGGGATATGTTATTTCACACATTGTAACACATTGAAAGTTTTGTCACTTCGTTCCTATTTTCACGAAGTGACGGTAGTGAGGAAAATCCGCACGCAAATTGTATGCGATTTTCATTCACTACCATTACTTGTTATTGCCCTAACCCCCATATCCATGTATTTACTTAAAACACTTTCCCATTTCACAACAGAGCAGTGACATTTCGTCATTGAATCATGACAGTAAAACTGATTTCTTATCCTCCCCGCAAACACAATAACACCCCCTACTCCAAAGTACATGTGTGGGGCAACAGGAGCAAGCGCGGTAATTATGACGTCAGTCTTGATCCCCTTAGGGATAAGCCGTGTCGAACGCGTGTTGAGGGGAGCATAGAAGAATCCAACCGTGGTGTAATTAACGAGATAAATGAGACAATCGTGTGTGGTTAACATACCGTGAGTCCGCTTGTTTTCTTTCTTAATGCGATTAGCGTCGAGCGAAGTGATGCTGAGCCCGTGTTACTACCCCGTTCTTCACCAGTAAGAACTGTTTTAATGATTTCTCTCTCTTTCCTAACACTCCCCTTTGCCCTTTCTCTCCTTCTCTTCTTTTTCATCTCAAGATGAATTAGTTGACATTAGAGGACTATTTTCAATAGAAGAAATGGCCATAAGGGTTCGTGGAACCCTTGGAGGAAGACTTGATGGATGTTAAGTCGTTGAATACTGAATTTTCTCATTTCCATAGGCTTAACACAGCGACCAACCGGTTCCCATAGACAACAGGTTAACCTGTAATATTGATTTGATATCATCTGCTGGTGGCCAGAAAGACATTAACACTGTATACAATTATATGAGTTAATGCCTTTTTGGCTCTCAATGCACCCTCTGTCTTCTGAATACAAATTATATATCAACTTTGAATCTGTTTCTAGATACATTTGATTTGATTTGTTTTATTGTCCACATTAAATGGAATTTTTTTTTCACATGGTTACCATGTATATACAGTACATAAAACACAGGTCAATTGAACAAATTTTGAATTACACATTGCTTATTAATCACCTAGTAGGTCATATTAATAATTTAAGCATAACCTTTATAGAATCAACACTAAATTTAAAAACAATAATCATACTTTTATATTTTAACTATATGATCACATGATCTCATTAATAACTGTATATTTAAAATTTAAATGTTCATGTATGAATAATATTAATCACTTTAAATGTTGTAGAATACTTTGTATCAAAATAGATTAACGGTATCCCCCCCCCCCCCCCCCCCCCCCCTCCTCGCATTACCTTCAGGAATCATCTCATCTTATTACTTTACTATTGGACATGTGGATGGAATCGGGGACAAACATGTATTCATACACTGGCATGACTTATCTAGGAATTGTATAAACTGAGTCACTTGATGGTATGAATATTTATCCAGCTCCTTCCGACAATGGTTGTTCATTGTTTTGTTCTTTGCTTGTTGGAAGAAACAGCAAATTGCCTGCCATATTCTTGGTTTCAGACAGCTTCTGTAATAAATAACTGAGATATCTTAAATCCCAAATAAAATAGGAAATCCTAGAAAATAATGCAACCTATATAACCACCTATGGCCCTGGATATCCTTGCCTCAGGTGCTAGAGCAGGTTAAAGTGTAAGGAAAGTTTCAGGAAGTAGTTCAAGGAGTAACGATTCACGATTGTTTGCAAACAATACCTGAAAGGTCCTTGTCCGCACGAGCTGAATGATGAATAAGTGCTTTAAGGTATACTGTATTATATTCTAATATTAATAGGTTTTTGTTCCTGCTATTGTCCACCCTTTACAATATAAGTTATTTCATTTCATTGTCTGTTGTTCACAATCTTCAGATTGGCAAGGTAGGTAGGTAGGTAGATAAATATAAAGATATATAGATATATACAGTAGGCTTGCGGGTGCACCATGTGGGAGAGATCGAGATAGTCTATAGATATATAGATCATGGGTGGATGGTTAGATGCAGATAGATAGATAGACAGACAGACAGACAGACAGACAGACAGATATATGGATAGATGGATATAAAGATGGATATATAGATAGATAGATAAACAGATAGATAGATATATATGGAACAGGATAGTCAGACAGATAGGTAGGTAGATAGATAGATAGAGGGATAGATAGAAAGATACATAGACACACAGACAGAAAGACATACAGACAAATAGATATATAGATAGACAGACAGACAGACAGATCAACATATAGATAGATAGATAGATGGACAGATATATAGATAGATAGAGAGAACGAGAGAG